CTCCAAGAGCTACAACAGATCCAGCAAATAAAGACATGTAGGCGAATAGAACACGCTGCAAAATAAATTCATTCAATTTTCAAGCATGATGTTGGTGAAACCCGTGGGAAATATTGCATATTTGCATGTCTGAATGAACTCTAACAATGGGAGAAGATTCTACAGGAAATGAGAGAAGCCCACAGACATATTCTAGAAGAGCCTGCTCACATCAAACGCCAATACAGCTATAGAAGATGGTAACCATTTCCAATCCATCAACAAAGCAACCATACATTATACAGTATAAATTAAAGCACCACTACATAATTGATAATACAACAGTTTTACCCGTTTCATTCCCAAGGTTTGATGATTTCCTGCTCCACCTCCATTCTCAATTCTTGACACACAAAACTGATAGCCATTATGAACCCATATTGGAACTTGCTCTTCGTCCTCTGCGTCATGAATGGACTGAACATTGAGTACACCATAATGAAGTACCATGCTGGGAGTCGAGGAGGGTTTGGCCGCGGCGGAGGCAAAGTCGTCTTGCCGGTCTGAGGAGTGGTGGGGAAGATGAGGAAGAAGGCAGGAGATGGAAGATGGGGTTTTTGAATTTGTTTGTATGTGGAAGGAGATGTTGGAAATGAAATGAGTGGAAAATGGGGTTTGAACACACAACAAGAGAGTGTCAGGAGTCTCTGGACAGGGATAGAGATATATATATATATATATATATATATAGATATAGACAAACATAAAAAGGTAAAAAGACCTTACTATACCCCTAACGTGAAGCACATCAGCACATCAGTTAATTATTAACTGAATTATATATGAAAACATTGATATATTATTAAAAATTTCATAATATAATACGTCATATGCAAAATTATTATTAATCATTACACATGTAAACATTATTAATTATTAAGCACAATTATACATGGAAACATTGCAAAGATGAATAATGGCCGTGGATCAAGATTCTGACGTTAATCGATGGTTCACAACGTACGCGCGTTTAGGCGGGAAAAATTTCCCCTGCTTTTAAGAATAGTATTGATGTAGGTAAAAGCATATCATATTTCAAAGTAATATTGTAGAGCTTCATCTTGCAAAAAAATAGAACATGTAGTAAACTAAATATAGTATAGTGTTGGATAAATTTGTTTGAATAATGTTATTTTTTAAAGAAGTTGTATGAGGTTTAGAAATACCAAAAAAATGAATAATACGACATTGTTAAAGGTCACCATGAATACTCGTTATAAACTAGTGTAATCCCCAAACTAGAAGTAGGGGTGTATACGAATCGAATAAAGCAAATATATCACTATCTGATTTGTATTCGATTAAAGTGATATGCATTCGAATTCGGATTCGTATATAATTCGAATTTTAAAAAAATTCGTATTCGATTCGATAGATATTTGACATATTTGAATTCGTATTCGAATATTCAAATCCGAAAATATTAGTAATTTTTTCTTAAAACAAATTTCTTAAAGACATTAAATTATTACTTTATAATAATGTAAAATGTAGTAAAAATTTATTAGAATATATATAAATTTAATTATAAATTTTAATATTTAAATATATATAAAATTATATGTGCACAAATATTTAATATATTAGAATATATATAAATTTATTTATAGATTATAATATTCGAATAATTTGAATGATAAACGAATCGAATCTATTAGTATTTGTATTCGAATTCGAAAATAATTCGAATCTAAAATATGATTTGTATTCGGATTCGAATTCGAATATAGCGAATACGAATCATCTTTTTCGAATAGAATCACGAATCAAATACATTTTAATTGATTTGTATACACCCCTAACTAGAAGTGAAGGAGGGTAAAAATAAGTGCAACATCCAAATCACATAAATAAATTTATGAGACAAAAGGTGCATAATGAATTTTGTGGAATTCTTTAGATGATCTTCAAAATTTTAAATCGTTTGTGATGACAGTTTTATTTGAAAAGATTAATAAGAGACTCAAATTTGAATTAGGTACAAGTATTACTTTATCATAGTTTCATATCATTGTAAAATTTTCATACTATGAATTAAACTTAAAAAGTTAACGGTTGATACGTAACTGAAAATAGTAAGAGACAAAATCAAACCATCACTATATCCACTAATAACATTTATTGCATCGAAAAAGGTGTTTGGAGTATCTAGAGGATCTCATTATATTGTACATGAGAGTTAATTCCTCAGTATTAGCATTTATTGTAGTAATTGTACTATGTAATTGTGAGATATTAAGAGTTAATTTTGAATAATAATAATTATCGTGTCCGCCTTTTTTTAGAATTTTTATTTAAATTTAAAAATAACTTTCTACCTTCATCATTTATTTTTCTTTTTTTAAGGATTAGTCTAACTTTGAATAAAAAAAATAACTAAATGAGAAAATTAGATAAAATCATTCAAATTAATAAAATAAATAAGATAGTCAATATAAGTTAACCTGAACTAGTAAAAATTAAAATAAAAATATATGGAAGAATAGAGATTTGCATATAGATTTTGTCAAGTACATTAGAAGAGGTTTCTCAATGTATTGATGAGTGCTATCAAAGTATAGTGGATGTCTAATACACGGACGTGTGCATCACAAACTAGAAGAATCTCTACACAATGCATAAACATATCAATGTGCATAATTTTATACTCTAATTGTATTAACTACCTAATTACGTGTAATAGAATAGATGTTGTAGTACCCTGTTTGCCAATCTTTTATGTGTTACAACATCATCTCACGAAGTTATTTATTTTGCATTCGCAATTTTTTGTATAAGCAATAATTAATTTGGATATTGTTGCTGAACTTTAAATCATCCAACATTCATTGTGTTCTCACCCAAAAGTTTAAATAAGTTTTGGAAATTTACATACTAATGAGGTGGACAAAGAATACTAATCAGCTTGTTGACACTATTAGTTTCATTTGATGTCTATGATGTCGAGATGTTTAGATTGCATGATCTTAATCGTGCACTTGAGATGATTCAAGATCCAGCTAGACTACCATAAGAGGCGGACGAAAAATTGTAATCAACTTTTGACAAGTATTACAAAATATATACTCATGAGACACATAAAGATAAAAAAATATATATACTCCAATGTCACGTTGTTGTGAATGAACAATTTTCTAACCAATAAATTTTCAAAATATTTGATACTACTAGTAAAAAAATCATCAATACAATTCAAATACTATTTCCAGGGATAAAATAAGCATTTAAAGAACTTATTTTAAAGAAAAGTACATCTATTAACTTCTCGAAAAGTGGATATGTAACTTCTCCGAGGTACATGAGTCGTGTATCTTGCGAAGCCCCTTTTGTCCGGAGCGAGGAAGCTCGCTCGAATCCCCCAGGTGTCGCTAAGGGGGGGGAGATTGTTGGTCTTATGGGGGGTCATCGATCACCCTTAGGGATTCGCTACTGTGTTTGTCACGGTATCGTGTATTGACAACCCAACCTGACGAGGTACATGAGTCGTGTATCTTGCGAAGCCCCTTCTGTCCATCCACCGCTCAGTAGTGGGGCTCCGCACAGCCGTAGTGAACTATAGGGGGGTGCCCTATAGGAATCTACCTCGGCTTGGGGCTATAGTGAGATGTGGTTAAATACAAAGTGTCCACCTTCATATCACCAATTGGTTTTAGGAAGCATTTGGCACCTCTTTAACTTTAGAACTCTATAGTTAAGCGTGCTGGAACGGGAGTAGTCCCACGATGGGTGACCCACTCGGGAGTTCTAGAAAACGATCCTACATTTTGTCCCAAAGAAACTGCACACAAAGTATCGAGTCTAGTACCTTGAAAGATTTCGTTGAAAACGTCATATTGACCAATAACATTTAGGGTGCTGTTCAAACATGCAACACCAAAGAAAGCATGCCAAATCTAAAGATCTTTCGAGGCAGCAACTTCTAGCATGATTGCGGGATGTCTGTGATCCCCACATGTGAATTGACCTGTCATGCATTAGGACAATTTCGACACGTCTAGTGCATACAATCAATACTGACAAGCATGCTGGGAAATACATGTCTCACTTCCTGGGCAGCGAACAAATTTTGAACGTCTTTTTGATTTGGTCTTCGTAAATCTTGTTTGATATATAACTTGATGACCCATTTTGCAAACTTTTACAAGCATTCACGAAACGTTCTCACAAACATTTTGAGATAATCACGTGTGTCCATGGACGTGTCGTCTGCACGTAGTTGAACCATTGCGATGCACTTTTGCAAGGTACTAAAACCCAATTTCAGTCTGCCACCCGCATGTAGAATAAAAAAGAAGAATCTGTATGTGCCAAATCATCGAGAATGCGGAGGAAAAGATGGTGACTTATACGAAAGCGACGCCTAAACTGTTTGTAATTGTAGATCGAATTTTCCGCAAAGTAATCTGCCACAAGTCGGTCGTGACCACCTACGGTGTGCATAACATAATTTATAGCAAAAAATAGTATGAAAATTTAAATATAATTAGGATTTAAAAAAACAAATCGTATGAAGGATTTATATTTGTATACCAATCTGATCTCGTCGCAACAATGCATTTCTTTTTCTTAGCTCTGACGTATTTCTATTTTCTACCTGTCCCGATAAAATTTTTGTCGCCTCCACGACCACATTTATGCCCAAAGTTTTGACTTCATCCAAAGAAGAAGTCGTCTATCTCATCGTCGTATCAGATGAAGGAGACAGCATTGTGGCAAAACCAGATGAATTTTTTGTTTGAAAGTGAAGGTGAAGAATGGAGAAGAAATTGAAGGGGAGGGTGTTTAAATAAGGAATTTTTTGAATTTTTAATTTTTTTGGCTTTCAAATGGATTTTATTAAGAGAAGAAATATGACCTTCGTAAACACTCGGAAATTACAAACTAGAACACACGGAGCCGGACGGGAAAAACGGGAAGGGGACCCCTCCTTTCCCGCATAGGAGAGCGGTGTTCCCCTTCCCTTCCCGCTGCCACATTGCCTTCCCGCAAGGCCTTCCCGTGGGCATATCCCATAGCCTTAAAGTCTGTTTAGGAATAATGTTAATGATTAATAACATTGACATTTTGAAAAGGATATCTACGGGCAACGTTTATCGTTAGCATTTTCAAAGTAACTTACATCGTTAAAAATTTTATTCAAAATGCTAACGCTAATCTCTAACGCTATTCCCAAACAGACCCTTACGGTTTTTCTTCTTCTCATTTATTGCAGTTTAACTTCATTTCTTTCACCAAACTACATTCATTACCAATATAAATAAATGACTATTAAAAATCCACATGTTATGATTTTAAGTCTAATAACAAAGAATTAGACTCCTTATGTACACGAAATTCAAACTGTAGAATTGGAATTAGAGACAACAATTCCAATTAAGTTGTTTGGTATCACTAAAATATG